AAACCTTGATAAAAAGTAAATATAAACTATAAATAAAAAGTAATAAAACACAAAAACCATAATTATAACCTAATTTTTTAAATCAAATCTTAACTTTTGCTTGAACATCTAAATTTCTCTTATACATAAAACACTTAATTTCTCATTAACAACTTAGTAGCTTACTTTCAGATCATTAATAAGGATTTTGATCATCTCATTCTAGTGATGATTTTTTAACAGTAATTACCAATATGTTTTATTGTGCATTAGATAGATGCTTTAGGGCTATTGCTCTTAACACTTTAAAGTCTTCGATAAAGTCTTCCATTGTAGTCTCTTCTTATGTAGATGTGATTTGTGTGACGTGGAGAATTATATTAAATTATTGAATCATTCCTTAGCAGTTTTAGTATAAAGATTGTCCTTCCTTGATGTTCTATTCTTGGTTTTTTATTATATTGTTTCTAATCTACGTTAATGAACTTCTCTATAATCTTACATCTAAGGTGATATTTATGCTGGTGTTACCACCATTTTTTCTTAGCTTGATAAAAACGCAACACTCTCTGATTTCTTGGAGGGGCATTACAGCTTATAAATGATGTCATCACAGCTATAGCATAAAGCTTTCAGTGCTTGGATAATTTTGAATTTAAAATTCAGTTATTTCAAGCTAAATCTAGGTGCAATAACATGTATCTATAAACGAATGAATGAATCATCTACTTAGTGTCTTCTTGGATTATTTCTTACTTCTAATGATTCTTGGAAATCATATGTAAAATTGATTGCAAAGTTAGCATCTGCTAAGGTTGCATCTGTTTTTCGTGATCCTTAGTGATGTACCAATTAATCAGCATCGACTAAATTAACCACTTTTTGCACAATCGGCATTGGTATTGGCATCAGCTTTTTTTAATTAAGTTCTTGATTCTCCAATTGATGGCAGATGAAACAATTTTAAAATTTTATCCTGCATTTTGAAAATAATTAAATGAAATTTTGATAATAAATAAAAATTAACTAAAATTTATGTAAAACAATGTCATCGTTGTTATTTTGTGTTCTTGTATCTGCGCTTTGTTGTTTTGATGTTTCAAATAAAGCCATTTATTCAAATATCTATTATCTTAAGTATCTCCTTAAATAAAGCTATTCATGTTACAAGCTTTTCATCTTCAACACACTCTTTGCAAGTTTTTCTACTTCTACTTTTTTTTTTATTGACACTGATAACTTTCTACACTCTGATATCCAATTATCTGCGTTACAACACTCTACATGCCAAACCACTTCTATATTTTTAAACCTCATTTTGGCACATCTTACCAGATATTATTACTATTCCATGTTCCGCATATCCAACTAATCATCTTTTGTATTGTTCTTTCCAGACACTAGAGATCATCAACATTCATTGCCAATGTTACACTACCATATACCATATACTATAAAATAACATGTGAATTAAGTTAGAAAAGAGGCTATTTTTGGCTTCATTTTTAAGTATTTTTTATCAAGCCATTTAAAGCTCTGCAACCTGCAGAAATAACTTTTTTTAGGTATATCCTATAAACCTTTAAACATTGCGACTCTTGTCTTTTAATCTAGCGTTCTTCTGCTTTTTGAGATTTTGAGAAATAATCTTTATCAGCCTTTTACTATCCATCGGCATTGGCCAAAAATGTTTAATCTGTACATCACTAGTGTCACTTTCTTACTCCTGATTATATTCTTTATCTCTATAAATTCCCAATCCATCCTAGCATGGAATACTGTTGCCATATAAAGGGAAATACATCAAACATGTCCTTTCTTAAAAAATGCATCGTAAACATAGTTTAACCTGCTCTTTCAGCTAACCTTCAACCTTTGTCACGCCTTTTGTTCTCTTTTCTATAAATAATAAATAGCCTGCTGGTCTAAAGAGCTAGAATCTCTTGTGACTACAAAAAATCATTATTTTACTCGTCATTCAATGAATGTGGCTGTTCATAAGTGCAAAATAAAAAATCTTATGTTTCAGTTTTTTGATTGGTGTTTACTTTTAATTTTCCTGATTGTATGAATTATATAAATCAAGAAAATATGATCTTCCTGATTATATGAACCTGGAAAACAATTATAATCTTCTGTAAACTGTCATTTTGCACTATATAACCTTTTTCATGATTTTTCTAGTAACTTCCATCTCCAATAGTGGTTGCTTCTAGCCTTGATAATTTTATTCCTGATCTATCAGTTAAAAAAAAGTTAAAATAAAAATAAAAACAGTGATAATTTTGTTGTTAGAAGTAAAGATATTAAAAGATATTACTTTTTTTTTTTTAATTTTTTATTTTTTCAATTAATGATAAAAGAATTTAATTTATATATACAGGTGGCCACCTAGGCCACCTGTTTTAATTATTTTTCAGAAACAAACAACAGCTTGAGAGAAATTTGTATGCATATATTGAAATTACATAGACATAATTAGACATTAAATTTTTTTTGACTATTGCGTTAACACTTTTATTTTAACAGGATTAAACTAGATTCAAACTCAATTATTCAACCTTTTTTTATTTTTAGATACTAAGCGGTGGAAGTATATCCGCAGATTGAGTAAACAGATTAAATCCTCAACAGTTAAAATAACTGTGGTTGTGCAGGAATACAGTTATGTTGTTGCATATTGGATTTATAGAAGATGATAATGTATAGTTTCCACAAGGCTTAAAAGATGGCAAATAGTCTATAAATGATCAGGAGAGTAAGGGCTTTTCGTACATGGCTAGTTTTGTATAACCCAAGATCATTTGCTGTGAATAGCTCCTGCACTTGATATTGTTACTTAATTTAAAAAACTGACGGCGTATGTACTAAAAAATACTAAAAAGATTTTAAATATGTCTATGATTATATATATGCGATTTTAATATAATATAGTATGATAGGTTTAGCAATTATAAATATTTACAGAGGCGTATCATTAAATAAGTTTGCATTTTATATTTTCATTTTATATTTTCATTGCTAAAAAGTTATTTAAATATTTTATAAATAATCGAGTTTTAATATATATTTATTGGTTATATTCACAGATGAAAATTTTCCGGGAATTCTATTACTAAAAGTATTAATTTCTGAACCATTTTCTCAGATATTATATTTATAAAGTAAATAAATTATTACTCTTTGCAAACTGTTTACGGTAAAACTGAGACATTGTATTTGATTTTAAAGAATTTTGAAGAAAAATAATTATTCAGTAGTTTTTAGTTAATTTATCTATCCCTTTACCATCATTCCAGAGTATATCCACATACCTTCGTCAACTAGTTGACCATATAATTTTTCGGTATTTTCATAGAAAAAAATTTCCGAGATTTTCATCAAGTCAACAACTCATCTATGTTATATTATTGCTTTTCTTTGTCTGTCATGTTCTTAAAACTGCTTGAAATAAGAGTTTCTTTGTTTGAGTAGATTCTAAAAAGAAAGTATCGCTGTTACTTGTTTTGAGCGAAGCGAAATAAAAGCACTTCAAAAACTTGCATGCTTAAGACTAAAATTAAAAATCTTAAATTTGGAAGAAAGACCTCTAAATATTAAAAAAGGGCTCCTAAATTTGTTCTCCCTCCGACCTCGTAGGGGGCATTAGTGAGCTAGCGACGGCTTGGGTTGGATCATTTATTTAAAGCATCTAAATAACTCTATTTATTAATGGAAAATTGATTTTTAAATGGAAATACATTTAAATGTTTCTTTTATGTATCATTGTATTAGCAAAACTGTTTTCTTGATGTTCGATTTTTGTTCAATTTATTCGTGTTATTTCATGTATGTAACAAGATCACGCAAATTTTTCTTTACTATTATGTTAGCACCATGTTACATTGACATTTTTACATTTTTACAAAACCTCCGGTTTAACGGGTAACGGGTCGTTTTGTAAGAACACTATTTGATTATTTTTCAAGTTTAAACCTTAATATTTGGATAGGTTTCAGGTGTCACATAACTTTCTGTGCATTTTCAGACTAAATCCCTATGATACTACATCCTGCAAAAAATGTATGTGCAACTCTCCGCGTTAAGAAATAAACATCATTAAAAATTAACAAAACTTTATATTTTTGTACTTTTACACTGATAATAAGTCAATCGCTCAGTTTTAAGCTATTTTTTATTTTTTAAACAAAGTTTTTTGGGTTACGTGTGATATTAGCTATAACAGTTATGTGAAACTTCTTCCCTCAACTTTTTCCCTAGTTATGTGAAACTTCTTCCCAAAAAATGGGTTCAAATATGGCAAAAACTAAATTTCTAGAACAAATTTCAAAAAATCTCAAAATTTTAAAGGCGGATTCTGAGTGAAGGAAACGTTTTTAGAATTATTTTTGTCCTAAACGAGGGGAATACTTCCACTTTTTCCCGAATTTGCCTGATTCTTACAAAAAACGGCTTTTAAAGTCACGGTAATGAAGTCCGTTTAGTTGATTTTCAAGTCACGTCATCAATTGTGACAAGTCGATTTTTAAATTCGCAGAACAGTTGTTTCTAAATTTTTTTTCAACAATTCTCTTATCATTGCTTTTAATTTTTTTTTTAAATTAAATGTCACGACAACGTTGCACTACTTTTATAGCTTTATGCTTTTATGACTTTAAGCACGGCGATCTATAAGTAACAGGCCGTGACACGCAAAACTTAGAAAAAAATGTGGGGGCCGATATTTTAAAAATCAATATGATATTTTTTTAAAAACAAAATATGTTGCTCCCGTTATATAAAGCATTAAACTATGTAAAAATTTGTACAATTTAGAAATCTTTTTAAGTTTTTAACGATAAACTTTATTTAATTGTTTCAATTCATAAAATTGCTTAAATAATGAAATAAAAAAGTTTTATATCAGGTAAAAAACAAAAGTTAAATAAAGTACTGTTAGGGGGTAACTGCACCTTTAAATAGGAATATATTTTAGTGACTTAAATAAATAAGAAATACTTTTAAAATCATAAAACAGAAACTTTAAATCAATTAATAAATTTCAATAAAGAAATAACAGCATAAGTGTCAATAAATAACTGTCAACTTAACAAGACAACTTTAAAATTTTCAGAGACGGTTCTTTGTTCGATCTTGGTGTGGAAAGTTTGCAGTGGTTTTTGATAAAAATATTTGACAGTATATTACCATGATGTCGTTCCATGTCAAAAGAATAATGATCCGATATAAGCATAAAAGTGTTGCACAGGGATGTCCGACAAACTTTATCTTTAATAGAGTTAAATAGTACAAATGAGAAGAAAACCCATTGAACAGTATTATCAAAAGGAACTTTTAACCCACCTCTATCGACTGATTTTAGATATTGACCAAACTTTTCAAAATAAAACATTGTTCTGGTTAAAAGTTCATTTTCATTAAGCAAATCATCATTACGAGACACATATCCGGCAATATAAACAAGAGACATCTTTGATTGAACAGTTATACTTTTTTCTAGTGTTGGTAAATTATCAAAGACCTCAGCTGAAGATTCATCAAGTAAAAATCCACAAAATTGGCAAGAATGTCCTGCATCAGGAGTTGACTCATTAATGTTATATAGGACAACAAAAGTGAAGTTTTAGAAATATTGAACTTTTCAATTATTTGCTGGACACTTAAAAAATATGTGCCACCAGATCCTTGTCTTAATTTGCTGAATTCTTTTTCAAGTGGGTCTGTTGTAAATTTTCCCAACATAACATATTTGTGTTTTTCTTTTAATAGTGTTTTTGTCAACTCAACAATTCCTTTACATGTATGATTTATGGAATATCCTGTATCATGTGTTAATTGTTTTATACGCTTCCCTTGATTACTTGTCATACGTAATGCCATTTCTTCGAAATCCCAAATAAATTTTAATCTATCATCATTTGGATCTCTGATGACAGCTTTTCGATCATCATTAAACCTACAATCTACACCCACACTTTTTACATTTAAAATTTTCCACCATGTAACAACCATTTTAATAAAATCAGCAGTCTCATTTATGTTTAAGATGTTGGAGGTTTCAGGATGATTAAGTAAAGCGCTGTATGTTTTTTCAGAAAACACTTTTAGACAGGTAGAAACAGATTGTCTTTCAATATGACTGGGTCGAACAGAAACTTCATTCAAATCAGAAAGTTTCATTAGACAATTAGAATCAGCTTCAAAAAGTTTTATCAAATGACTCCAACAAGCTGTTTTCTCAACACCATTTTCATAAAAAATTAATTCTCCTTTTTTTTCTGTGAGCCAATTGTTTCGGATGTTTTTGATTAAGTGGACAAAGTCAAACAACAAATAGGTTCCATTGGTGGTTAGCCAAGGTTTTTCAGGAAATGTGTCAAATTTTTTTAAAAATGCTTGATTAGTTCGATTTCCATTACAAGCAAGGATTGTCTTTGCGTTGCCATTAGACTCTTTAACTGCTTCAACAGTCAAATGAATTTGATCATATAAAAATTGAGAATTTAATTTGTTTACAGGTAACATTTTCACAAGAAATTTAGGTCCACCAAACATACAAGCAATATGAAACTGCAAAAATAATTACGATTAAAGGTGTTCGTACTTCAGTAAGTACTGAAGAGACACTTGTACCTTCACAACTTTATTTTCAGCATTTTGGCGCCCTAAAGGATGGACTTACATCACAATTTTTATGCATTTGAGATATTTTTCTAACTCTTAAAGTACCCTTTAAATAATTTTTATTTAAAATATTTAAATAAAATTTATTATTATAGAGAAGTTATCACGCAGAAAATTCAAATCCATTTGTATTATACAAATTTAAAAATTTTAAAATAAACAAAATATTTTTTTCTATGTAAAGTTTACATATACTTCATTTTACTTGTCTATGTAAATTTTACTTGTACTGTTCACAGCTTTACAAAATAAAATTAGTTTTTGTCACAAATATTTTTTTTTACACTGCCCTAACGTCTACACTACACAATTATTTAAAACTTTAAAACAAATTATATTTTGTCAAAAAATGCAATTGCATATCGAAAAATAAAATTTTTTATAAGTTCACAAGGAATTTACTTACGAATCCTAAAAAAATAACAATTCTTCTCCAATTGAAATAATTTACTTAACTATAAATTGTTTAAAAATCCATAAATGAACATATCATTAAAACAACATACCTTTGAACTGAGTTTCTGGTGTTTGTCACCATGTCTCTGCACCATGTCTTTTATCGATTTGTGTTGTTTTCCATAACTGTTAGTTTATGAATGAAAAGGTAAACATCACTTTGTGATTTTTAACCATTGAATTCATTATTAACAGAACGAAGTACCTGAAAAAATTTTGAAAAACTTGATTTTCAACAAACTTTACAGTATCAACTTGATTTTCAAGAAACTTAACAGTATCAACATGACTTTTAACAAACTTAACAGTATCAACATGACTTTCAACAAACTCTACGCTATCAACATGACTTTCAATAAAGTCTACGCTACCAACATGACTTTTAACAAATTCTACGCTATCAACATGACTTTTAACAAACTCTACGCTATCAACATGACTTTCAACAAATTCTACGCTATCAAGATGACTTTCAACTAATTCTACGCTATCAACATGACTTTCAACAAATTCTACGCTATCAAAATGACTTTCAATAAATTCTACGCTATCAACATGACTTTCAACAAATTCTACGCTATCAAGATGACTTTTAATAAATTCTACGCTAACAACATAACTTTCAACATATTTTACACTATCAACATGACTTTCAACAAATTCTACGCTATCAAGATTACTTTCAACAAATTCTCCGTTATCAAGATTTCTTTCAACAAATTTCATGCTATCAATATGGGGGGGGGGGGTTAAATAAGCTTGCGTTGGGTAGGAAAATGTTCCAAAAACTATTAAACATACTCCTTCTATTGTATGAAGAATGCAATAGTAACAAATTTAAAAACAAATCAACATAAAAATTAGGATTTTTTCAAACCTCTTAAATAAATATGTCAGAAACACATATTAAAATGGACTAACTTACGAAGCCAAATATGTATCTAATTTTCATTAAAAGATTAATTGCTCTAAATGTTATTAAATATTTTCTAATCTATTTAAATTTTAGATTGTTTGCAAAACATTTAGTTAAATATTTTTTTCCATAAAGATATTCGTAAATATAACCAGTAAATAATAATGAAAACAAATTTTGCTTAAAAATAAATGCTAAACAAAAAAACCATCTAAAATATGAAAAAACAAAGTTAAAATAACTAAAAAACCACACAGGTTAAGTGACAGTCATATCTGTATCTGAAGTGGCATCTTTGATAGTATGAGTAATAATAAAAAAATTAATTAAAACATCATATTTTGTGTTATTTCTGTCAGCTTATTCTATAAATAAAAATCATAACATATTTTTAAAATGTAAAGTGATATAACTCTTTGCATTCAAAATATTCAACCATTTTGCCAGCAGCAGGCATTCGACAGGAAGAGAAAATATCTAACTCTTGAAAATTGAATAAGCAGTATATAACAAATATGATGTTTTAATGAATTAATTATATATATATTTAATTATATATATAGATCCATAGATATAGATCTATACATATATCATAGATTATTATCAAATAATAACTTGCACGAATCACAAAAGAAGATATCACAGATACTTTTCTGATAGTCAATTAAACATGTTAAGTGATATAACTCATCGCATTCAAAACATTTAATCATTTGGCCTGCAGCCGGCATTCAACAAGAACAGAAAATATCTATAGCCTCAATGCGACTAACCCCACCAATTTCTGTACTTACCTTCACTGTTGGAAACATGGAAAGAACCGTTTCTTGAAGGCTTTTCAATAAATGATCCCGCATCAGATTTTGTTTAAACAAACAATGATCTGGTTGTATCTGCTTAGTTAAAGCTGCAGCAAAAGCTACAGCAAATAAACCGCAATCATTTCCTCCTTTCTGTTTTTGAACATCCATTATTTTAATGATAATTTTTTTCTCAGGACATACTAAAAGGGCAGCAATCTGTTTTTTCCCTTGATCACTCAAAGAGTTCAACATGCTGTCATAAATAAAAACTTCATTCATTTTTTGCGCTCCTATATTGCTAATTGTAAACCAGTGTCCATATCCATCATGGAGTATCTGGATAAAACTATTTTTCATTGCAAGAAATGCCATATTTAATCCTAGAATAGGATCTTGGAAACCAGCTATTGATGACTGTGCCTTTAAAATATTCCGTGAGGCAAAAATTATGCTATCTGTTAGCCACTCATTCTCACTCCTAAGAATATTTCTTTCAATGGATGTCAACTCACACAAACTGTTTTTTATCCACAATATCTCCTTTTTTGTTTCTTTGGATGCAATTTTGTAGGTTTCCACCTCAATTGTACTTATCTCAATTCTCTGATCTTTATTGGATACATTTGTTTCATAACATTTTTTCTTTGCTGGTGTACAATAATCATGATCATGATTGTTGCAGAATTTTGAGGACTGCATTGGCAATATAATAGATTTTGAGGACTGCATTGGCAACAGAGTAGATTTAATACTAGATGTAAAAAATATATCAGATTTGTTTTTCTGGTCACTGATGTTGCCTGTTGGATTTGTATGACTACTATCAATTTTACTACATTCCTTAAAAGAATCCGCCTCTGTTATTGCCACATTAACATCACAAGTAATGTATGGCTTAATGTGAGCACCATTAACCTTTTTTTCCTTTAAGGTGGCTATCTCTTGTAAGAGATATGACCCCTTTCCTAAATTTTTCAAAATACAGAAAGGTCCAAGCCATCTGAAATCTAGTTTTCCATCTTTTCGTTTTTTCCGCAAAAAATCCTTGATCAGGACTTTGGATCCAATTGCATAAACAAATGGATTAGCATGCTTCTTGTTATAATGCAGTTTCTGTTTTTCTTGAGCTGTTTCGATATTTTTTTTAGCTTTTTCTAGGATACATGATCTAAAGTATAAATAGTTATTGTAAAACTTCAGAATAAATTTAAAATCAAACAAAGAACTTTTCACATTTTATATCTTTTAATAATTGTTGTACCATTAAATTTTGTACAATGCTATTCAGGCTACCAGAAAGAAAAAAAGAAAAGAAAGAAACAATTTTTTTTTTTTTTTTTTTTTAACATCTTCACTTCCAACAAGGCTGCAAGCAACCACTATAAGAGTTGGAAGTTACTGGAAGAGAAAAGACTAAATCTGTAGAGCAAGATGACGATTGACTGATGA